GTATAAGAGACAGGTCAAGAGGGGAAGCCCCAGAAGCTAGAGCCTTTTTCATTTTTAAAGCGTGTATATGGCATATATTTAAATACTTCTTGCAGTTTAAAATGAAATACATTTTTGTAATTATCCAATGCAAGGGAGTAGGAGCTCTAGTATGCAGGGCCTCTAAAGTAATAATGGTCACTTTTTTTCAACACAGGATTTCAAAAAAGTTATTACCAACGCAAGTAAAAACACTGAAATTAAGTAAATTTGAACATCAATATAGTAGAATTGTTTTTCTGCTAGAAATCAATCTTACAAATACTCTAATACTTACTATAAAATAATAGTTATGTAATTGCTTAAATCACAAGGGGTTGCTTGTCAAAGAAGGTTCGCTTGTCAAAGTGGTGGAGGGGGGTTCAGTTAAAAAGGAAGTTCGGCCGAACCCAAAGGAACCCCTCTGGCTACGGGCCTCCTGTACATAGTAATAACAGAAATCAATCACATCGACAAATGGACCCAGAGGCCTAGATTTATCATTAGCACTGATTTTATATGACTATTTTAGAGGCTTGAGTTTTATGGGTTTTGTTGTAAAAGTGAAATATATTATGTATAAATTCCATGATGTACAAGAAAAGATATAATATGTATAATTTAATTTTTTTTTTAATATGCTAACTAGCTTGTGGGTAAGAAAGTATAATACATACTCCAAGTATTGAAATACACGCCATCGTGTTGGGATTCAATATTTCGACATTAATTATGTCATCATCAGGATGTGGGTATTTAGTAGTTATCTCTCATTTTTTTTTTAGGTTTTGAAGATGGATGTTGTCGCTGATGTACATCAATCCTTTGAAGAAATCTGTAGAAAAAAACCAAAAAGAGCATCTGCCTCTTCGGTAACTATAGAGGAAGGAGATCGAGTGAGCACAATAGTAAAACAGGGAATGAAACCATCGGATGTAGTAATGTCTGAAGATGGTTGCTTATTAGTTTCAGATTGGAGCAATGAAATTCTCATATATAAACAGTCAGGAGAGCATGTCCGCAGTGTAAAGCTACCATCAGGTGTAAAGGTCAGGACATTGTACAAAATGAAAAACAATGATTTGATAGTATTTGCCGATTTTGGAAATAGATGCATAACGTTATGCAAATTAGATGGCGATGTAATCAAATCAATTGGTAAAGGAATATTGAGCAATCCATTTGGAATTTATGTGGATGAGAATTTAAATGTAGTTTATGTTGCAGACTTTGATAAACACTGCGTTTTCAAGTTCAACATTGATGCTGATCAGTTGATCAAAAAAATTGGATCAGAAGGTCACAATGAAGGTGAACTGAATAGGCCATGGGATGTTACTGTTACTAGTGAAGGACATCTAATTGTAGCAGACTGTTGGAATCACAGATTACAATTGTTTGATAGTGAAGGCAGATTCATGAAGATTCTTGTAGGTCAAGGTGATCAAGACGGATCGGTGATTTATCCACAAGCGGTGATAATTGATAAGGATGATAACATGCTTGTAACAAGTAGACACAAACTACAGGTATTCAACAGTAGTGGACAATTTATCAAAAGAATTGATGAAGATAAAGATGGATTAGATTGTCCTTATAGATTATCAATAGTTTCTTATAACCCAAGGAGAATTGTTGTGGCAAATCGTGGTGGAAGAAATATTAAAATTTTCAATGAAAGTTAATCAAGTACAGTTTTGCCTACTCTGAGCAAACCATGCTAATAATAATAATAAAAACATACATGTAGATTTCTTGAGTTTGGCACAAGAAATTATAAACGTATATAAACAAAATAGTTTAAGCGTGTGCACATGGTCATCACATCTTCTCCATTGTGTATTCACTTTAAAAGCGATAGACACGGAGTGGTCGCATACATTACGTCACTATTAGTCAAAGACTACATGGTACTTAAATAACGCCACCTCATAATATTGGGTTCAAAATTAAGCCAAGGTATTTCTATTATCTATGTCTTTTTTATTTCAAAACATTTTTAAGCTGTCAACAAAAAAAAACTGTTCACGTGCTCTGTATTAAGGGCGTAGGGTGCAAGGGGCGAATCCCTTTTAAAGCTCTCAACTTCATTAATTTAAGGACTTATTTGATCGATTTTTACCACTTAGTCACTGATAAGTTTTACAAGAATTGTTTATAAAAGCAATATTGGGGTTTGGGGAGAGGAGGAACCCCACTCCTGCTCTTCGAGGACTATACCACTCGTTACCAAGAAGCCAAGCAAACTTACCAAAGACAACAATTCAATAGCGTACCTCCAAAATTCCCTTTTTTGTATTATAACAATATTTTGCTGATTTTAATTTTGCTAATACTATCAATGTTTTGCTATACTATGTGTTTGATCTTGGAATTTATCTATTACATGTGTTAAGACGCTTACATATGAAGTTATTGGTTGTATGATATGTCTGTAAAGGTCAAATGTGAATTAATAATATGATAATTATGATGATGAATATTATCGTCAACATAGGCTAATATTATTTACATTATATGGGAATCTATTTATACAGGTATTACAATGTTTACATATTAAGTTACTACTAATGGATTGCTTTTCTTAGCCGTATCAGATTTTCTTCTGATTTTTTTCCCACACGTTTTGGCTATCTTTTTGTACAGGATTTTTCTCACTGGCACTATAGTTACTCTCCGTGCTTGGATCATTTCCAACTCTGTCCAAACATAGACCATATAGCAGAGATGTGCCACGTAAAATATAATATTCACAATCTAGAGCGGGGTGTCGATGTGAAGACTAATTAAAAGGATTTAAGAGAAACACCAAACACCGGATACTTATAAAACGGACTTTCTGGAAGGTTGAACCAAGTTACAAGGCAGAAATAATTATGTTTTGTGACGATCCAATTTAGTTTATCCAAGTAACAAGGAAACAATTTTAAGGTTTTGGTGACGCTCTATAATCGGATGTGAACTTGAGGGTCACCTAAATTTCTAACTTCCCAGACCTAAATATCTCAGTAAACCTATTGATGGATTTGTATGAAATTTTTCACAATACCTTGTCATGGTCCAGTGAAGAAATTAATACATTTTGGTGAAGATCCTGAGTACGATGTGAGAGGATCATTCAAAGGAAAAGATCCCAGGATACCAAAATCTGATCTACTGATATAAATTAAACTTTCTGGAAAGTTTAACCAAGTTAGAAGAAAGAAATTATTGCATTTTGGTGACAATCCAAATTCACGTGTGGATTTGAGAGTCATTTAAAATGCTAACGTCCCAGACCTATTTATCTCCAAAACTCACCAATGGATCTCAATAAAACTTTATAGTATGAGATATTTAGGTCTAGGACGTTAGCAAATTTACTGACTCGCAAATTCACATCCGATCCTGGATCGGCACCGAAGGTTTTCATTCAGATCAGTACATCATGTTTTGGTATATATGGACTGGGACGTTTTCATTTGAATGGTCCTCATATCCACAACCCTATACTCAACCGGATCTTCACCAAGATGTAATTATTTCTTCACTGGACCATGACAAACTATTCTTAAAAGTTATATTAGGTCCATTGATAAGTTTTTTGAGATATTTATGTCTGGGACGTTGGAAATTTAAATGACCCTCCAACTTAAAACCTAAACTGGATCGTCACAAGAATTGAATACTGCCTTCCTTGTAACTTGGTAACTTTTCGTCTCAAAAGTTTCATTTAGATCAGTTGATCAGTTTTGGTATATCTGGTCTGGGAAGTATCTATGGATGTAAATGCCACTTTCTGTAATAGCTTCTCATGGTTCAATGAAGAAATGTTTAAATTTTGGCTCTGATCTGAAGTAGAGTGTGGATAATATCAGTATCATTTTTAAAGAATATTTTGGACTGGTGATTAAATGATATAAACGCAAGCTTCGTTAACTAAAGCGTTTTAAACCAACTGAAGCTAGGTTAAAAGCAAACTTTTTGTAATTTGTGTAATTGAAATTAATCTAATAATTAATTACTCGTAGTTGTAGGTTTAATTTTAATTGGTAGAAAGGTCCATTGATAGGGGTATATACTGGAGGTATATGAAATTATGTCTTTTAGAGAAATTTGAGAAATGAGAAGAAAATTGTTTTCATGTCTATGAAGTTTCGGAAAATTATATATTTGTGAAATGTACCGATACATTATTTATGAATAAACAAAAGTTCAATAATGATGTAATAACGTAGACACTTCATTTTAATTTCAAATGAAGAAAATACAAGCAATAATTATATAGGTTAATGTCTATCGATTATATTATAATTTTGTATGATTATCATCATCATCATCATCATTGTCTGGGCTGTGTAAAGCCACTGCTGGATAAAGCCCCCCTAAAACAATATCCAATCATTCTGTCGTCTGCTGCTGCTCTCTTCCATGCTGCCGTTTTCATAATATGTGGTTATTTCGTCTCTCCACATCTTTTTTTAGACATTCTCTCCTCTTTTTTTTCCTGCCCGAGCTTGCCATTCTGTGAGTCTTTTTGTCTATCTGTTATCTTCGTTGCTTGATATGTGTCCACCCCATCTGCACTCCTTTTCATTGATATTCTCTATATCCTTTACCATTGCTTGATTTCTAACGATGGGGTATATCTCGAATGTTGAGCATACTCATTTTCATAGCTCTCTGTTGGTTATTAGTTTGTTTTTCGTTTTAATTTCTTTTGTAGTTGACCATACCGCCGCACCGAATGTTATAATTTTATTCAAGATGCATTGGTTGAAGATTTTTTTGTCGATGAATTTGGCCCATTACTTTTATCAAAATGATTTTTGAAATTACATATTTTATATTCTGGTAACTATGTATATTGTAGAGCTTTTTTATATAGTGCTGGCATAAAGCCATGTTATTGTTATGCTGTAGGCCTAGATCAATAAACGTTTCCGTTATCCCCGCCATTTGAGTATTGTTGCTAAGGTATTAAAAAACGATAGCGTAACCATCAGTACATGCATTCACGAATCCATTTTCCCATTAAATTCACCTTCCAATCCATCTGTTTGAGTTATTCCATCTGTCCATGTGATTGTTCATCCACATTATACAGAACCCTATCAATTTACCTGTACACCTATTCATAGGTCAAATTTGTTGTATCATTTTTGTTTTGTTTCAAAATAATATCATATTAAAAGCATAATTATCTACAGATATAGAGGCAAATTAAAGCATGTAGATTATTGATTTGGTGAGCTAATTACCTATTTTTGTTGGTTAGGCTGTGCTTCATTCAACAATTAAATTATTGCACGAAATTAATTATGAAAATGATGATATAGAGGGCAGTATATGACTATTCTAAACAATTGTAAAAATAGTGGCAATATAACATAGCATATCATCATATAATACCACGGTGGAAATATAATATAATTATATAATGACAAGACACAGACCCTCTATACTAGGAGGCGATTGATTGAATTCGAATACAGTACAGAAAACGACATTAAAATCATCTGTTTGAAAAAAGAATTTTGTGTTTGATCATTAAGTTTATTTTAAACATTATTATAATAGACAAGTCAGGATCTGAAAATCCTTAATGCATTTTAAGAAAAAGTCGGCAGATTGTTACATAAATCTGGTATGCTGTCATATAGGAATAATGACGGCGCCAGTCTTCCCCGACGGGGGTTCAAGGTCCCCGACATGGGGCTGATGTCCCCGACGAGAAAAAAGTGGGGGCTAGCCGCCACCCCCACCTCACCCGCCCACATCAAAAAATGACAATTTAAGGGTTTCAAATGCATATTTATTCGATTTTAGAGTCTATTAATAAGTAAAAAATAAGTATAATTAAATTATGCAAATATGCTTAACGGTCCACAATTCCCCACCCTTACCCTAATTTCTTTTTTCTCCCCGGCGATTTGTGTTTTTTCTCCCCGACAGGGGAGGGTGGGGCTGTAGCCTTTGCTTCCTTTTGCGCAGAAGCTGGCTAGCTGCCATATAACTGTTATAAGCCTGCCGTCAGCAACCCATGTGTCGCGACCCAACTTTAGGTCGTGAGTGAATTTTAAAGGGTCGTCAGTTTGCACCGGGGTTCAACAAATTATATAGAAAGTCTTAGGTGTTAAAATGAACAATTTAAAACTCAGAAGACTCCCCTGAAAACATTGAAACAATATTTCTTTTTAATAACTGTCATCATCCGATTTACGATTTGCTGAGCTTAATAAAACATCGCTATGCGCCGGCAGCCCTTTAATCTTAGTTCAGCTCGCCATTTGTTGAATAGTATTTGTGTCTTAAAATACAGACATATTCATTTTAGTCTTGTAATAAAGTTTTAGAAATTTCACATTGTTGTCTCACTTATTCACATCATCAACTCCTTAATTTTCTACATTCAAGGACACTTATATTACTACTTTTAGTACGAAAATTGCCTCACAGCTAATGTAACTACTATTGACAGCTAATGTAGAATAGTGTAAACTCTTATATCAAAGGAACATATAAACGAATTTACCAGCTTTAAACTATACGGCTTATTATGAACAGTATCGGTATTGCATTGTTTCGACTTCTGCTTGATACCTGTTTGTTGTTTGCCATCGCACAGCATAGTCCTCAATAAATATTGTTCTATAAATAAATTGAAATAAATTACATTCGACGGGAATCGAGGCGAACGCCATAACCACTAAACCACCACCATTTTACCATACATGTATTTTATATGGCTATATGTTTTATATTTTGCTCTGACGAAGGGCTATTACAAATGGGAGGCATTTCTCGGGCTGTTTACTTTATATATATAAAAATTTGTATGCACTTAATGTAGGAGAGAATATCTCAATTGTTATAGATTAATATGAACCCAGCCCGAAAATGACCACGCCCCCTTTTTTTTTTATTGGAAATGCTACTTTAAACAGTAGGCTAGACATTATGAACATATTAAAACAAGGGTTTTTCTTTTAAAAAGTACACATATGATGAGGGGATCAAATTTCAGAAATCTCACCTTAATTACATGTCCTGTTCATATGGAAATTAGCTTAAATATGCAAATTAGGGTCCAGCCCCTTTTTTACTGGAAGTGCTACTTTAAATAGTAGACTAGACAATCTGAAAATATTGCAAACAAAGGTTTTTATTTTATAAATGAACACATATGATGAGGGGGTAACATTTCAGAAATCACACTGTGTTCACATGTCCTGTTCATATGCAAATTAGCTTAAATATGCAAAAATATAAGGCCACGCCCCTTTTTCATTGGAAGTTCTATTTTAAACAGTAGGCTAGACATTACGAACATATTGAAAACAAGGGCTTTTCTTTTTAAAAAGAACACATATGATGAAGAGATCAAATTTCAGAAAACACCTTAATCACAAGTCCCGTTCATATGGAAATTAGCTTGAAAAATAGGGGACCACGCTCCTTTTTATTGGATGTGCTACTTTAAATAGTAAGCTAGACCAGTGCTTCTTAACTTCTCAATTTGGGTAGCCAAAACATTTCTGAGGGTCTCGAGATTGCTTCTTCTTCTTTTTTTTAAATTAAAGTGCATCTCGAAACATAGTGGAAAATACTCCAAACAAGTAAGCTAGAAATTATTGTCAACCTAAAACCTAAAATCAACTCTCATGGTTAATTTTTTTCTTGTTGACCTCAATTTTTGTATTTCATATGTCAGTAACTACAAGAAAAACACAATTTGTATCAAATACATCCAAAATTAGACATATGACACTGAAGTTTATTGACATTTTATGAAAAAGTGTGCATTTTAGAAAAAGATCGATGACCTTTTGACATCTAGTGTCTTTATTAATTGTCGGATTAATTTTATTTAAACAGCATATGATTAAGAAACATATATGCTACACATTTCTACCAAAATAATATTGATGGGATTTTTAAATCACAGGTTATGGGCATAAATGTTACCCCTCCCCCCCCCCCAANNNAAAGTATTGACCATTAAACACTACCATTTACACAGGGATACACTTTCAACAAGCAGCATGGATGCTTGTTATGCGGGAAATTGTTACTTTGTGAATCTCAAATTCGTTGGACATGGGCAAGTCTAAGATTTCGTAAACACCTGATATTTCGGGCCAGTATTAAAGTAGTATTCCCACAGTATGACATCACACTTGCATGTAACATACATTTAAATACCGACCATTGCATCTTGATATGAATCGTATGGTACAGAATAGCCAATAATTTGATGAAGAGCTGAGTATGTTTACACTTTCAACAAGCAGCATGGATGCTTGTTGGCCAGAACGATTGGTGTGAACACTTGGGAATATGACTTTTAACAGTTAGGCTGCACATGTAATATTCTGTGTTTTAACACATCTCAAGCATAATTATTAATAAAGAGAATGCGCATTACTGTATTATAATTCGGAACCTCTAATAATGTTTGACCAATTATACAACACTGTTTAATACTTCACAGATGAGAGAAAAAAACAATATCCATTGGTGACATGATATATAACACTCAATCAGGGCATAGTGCTGTCATGCAGGAAATAAATTAGCCATCTATGATTCTATAAAAGCAGTTTTCCTCTAGGTGAATTTATAGGCGTGACATAAAATGTTTCGTTGTGTAAAAATTAGTGCGATTATTTTCCAATACATGAACGAAAAGATTTGTGGTACGCAGTTTCACAAACATTGTTTTCTGCGTTGCCGATTGCGAGTGTGTGTGACATTTATACGCGTACATAAAAAACTCTTTGAAACAAAATTTGACTGCGGTGAAGGACTTAACATAAATATTAAACTGCGCATGTGTACATTAAAAGCTTTCAATTTCCGCCGACAAATTCGCCAAGTGGAAAACCAACTTTAGTTGTGTAGCCTGAGTACTCATGTTGGTGGCTGGCTGTAATTAAAACAAATGGCATTATTAATTAGTGACTAAAATTTAATGATAATTTACTTGAAAATGACTTTAGTGTTATATATTTGTTTATTATTCAGTCACGTAATCAAGTAAATATAATTGTTTTTCTAATCAGATTTCAGTAGGTGTGAGTGAGCAAATTATATGTATTTTCAAATTATTTAATATTTGTGAATTGCATTTAAGATAATTTTTAGTTATCAAAAATAAGCAATTTCTCCCCTTATATATAGTCCAGAATTATACTAGAATTTAGAGCATATTGTTAGCAATAAGAGATGTTTACTTACTTATTAATGTTTTTTATATTATTGATTTTTTAATAAAAATTATGGGATCATTATTTCAAGATGTGGATCATGTTGATGAATACATTATGCTACGTTGTTTATTTTGTTATATATAAATATATAAAATAGAAAATACCTATTCTGTATGGATTTCTTACTCAATCACTACCTGGTATGATTTATGTAGGTTTAATGCAGTACTTTTTAAAGATGTATAATGTCTGCTTTAATTAATCCTGAAAGTATAAATTCAGTACGGAAATTTGCTTTGTGTTTTGCATTTATTATACCTGATTCACACAAGGGAGAAATAAGTTAAACATGTTCTCCCGTGCTAAAGAAATTTTAGTATGTGGCCCTTGCTAAATTGTGTGTATGTCTATGATTGTAAGCATGGCACACGTCACATGTAAAATCCATGTAAGAGAACCAGACAATGAAGATTCTCGGTAACACTCCCAAGATACTTAGCATGAATCATTGTGCATTCTCATGAGTTAAAGCGTGTATTCACTTCGTGGTGATGCTCGTATCTTTACTGCCTGTGTATAAACTGTGCTGACATTTACCAATGTTTTGTATATATTCATGTAAAGGCAATGTTAAAACCATATTGAACTGTAGCAAGTGTGCCATGTAATATTTTATTTTGTGAATTTTATTAGTTAATACCAAGTCACAAAGCATTGTATAATAATCATCTAATTTATATGGCAAGAGATACATATTGAGCACCTAAAATTGCTTATTTAGAATGATTAAATTTAATAATTTTCAGTGAAATAAGAGATCAAAACAGGTCGGTTTTCAGTCATTTACAACCTAAAGCCATGTCCAGACTATCAAATTTTATTTGACAAAAACATGCGAGATACCTAAATATGGTCAATGATGACATCACATCATGACCATATATAGGCACATCCTGACTCTATATAGGTTTGTCAAAGAAAATTTGATAATCTTGTCCGAGCCTAAATCCTATATCTATGCAAGAGAATACAGAAAATAATTATTAATAATACATAGATTCTAAGCATTTGATTGGTTAAGAAGCGGGTAATAGAAAGTACTATGATCACAGATGATAGTACCGGTACTAAAGGAGGAGACACAACCTCTATGAGAGAGATTGGCCCTTTGATTGCCTAGGCAGTAAGCCTAGCATTTTCATTAATTTTTGAGGTCTCATAGAATCTATTGTATTAGGTATATAAAACAAATATTGACTGCTCTCGATTCGGGGAACAGTGAAATCT